CTGGGCCTGGGGGCAAAGGCAGAGAGACCTAGGGGGGCAGAATATGGGTCCCTTGGGGTTGGCAGGGTGATGGGGGGCTCAGGGAGAGCAACTCCTGCGGCTCGCTGGGTTTGGAGCGACAGGGAGAGGGACTCCTGTGCTTGGCTGGAGCATGGGAGAGGGAGAATGAGGTTGGCAGGGTTTGGGGGCACAGGGACCGGCACCCCAGAGTTAGCTGAGGCACGGAGGGCCTTGGGGGTGGCCGGACATGGGGGCAAAGGAAGAGAGATCCCAGCGTTGGCATTGCATGGGGGCGTAGGACGTGGCAGGATTTGGGGGCAGAAGGAGAGGGACCCGTGTGGTTGGCAGGGCATGGAGGGCACAGGGAGAGGGGTTGGCAGGATTTGGGGAGCACAGAGAGAAAACCCCCTTGGGTTAGCAGAGTTTGGGGGCACTGGAAGAGGAAGCCTTGGTGTTGGCAGGGCATGTAGGGCACAGGGAGAGGTTCCTCTGGGGATGGCAGTGCATGGGGGGCAAAGAGAGAGCGACCCCGGGGATGTCATGGTTTGGGGGCACAAGGAGAAGGACTCTGGCGTTAGCAGGACATGGGGCTACCGGGAGAGGACCCTCCTGTGACCTCCAATAACAGGGACACACTCTCACTCTTGCACTAAGTCAGTGGTTTTCAACCTTTTTCTCTCATCACCCTGTTGAAGAAAACTGTGGATGCCTGCAACCCATCATAGTTGGACTCAGCTGTGGCCTCCGGGGTGGGGCTGAAGAGGAGAGCTTTGGGCTGTAGGAGAGGGCTCCAGCTTTGTGTGGTAGGGCGGGGGCGAGGGGCTGGCCTGGAGGGGCTCCCGGTCAGCAGTGCAGCGGGGTGCAAAGGCAGTTTCCTGTTTCACCTGGCACCACAGCCCCAGCCAGCAGCAGGTTCCCAGCCACTGGGAGTGCGGAGCTAGCGCTCAGGGCCGGGGCAGTGCGCAGAGCCCTATGTACTCCCCAGGAGCTGGGCCTGCTGGCAGCCACTTCTGGGGTGCAGCGCAGTCGGTGGTGCCAGGACAGTCAGGAAGCTGCCTTAGCACCCCCCAGTCACCTCATCTCTCTGCAGCAATGAGACCCAGAGCTGGACATTCCACCACCCCATCTTGGGTTGCGACCAGTTATTTGAAAGCCTCTGGACTCAGGCCTTTCACAGCTCCCTAGGGAAAGCCAGGTGCTCTTTAGGAAATACGATTCTCACTGCCCCGTACCTCATGGGTACATCTACATCTGAGTGCAAAATTCTGTCCGATCAGAGTCTCTGCCAGCAAGCAGGGCTGGCCTTGCCATGAGAGGAACAGCTGGGGGTGGGAGGGGGGCTACCACTAGGACCCAGAGTGTAGAAAATTGTGTCTGCTGCTGGTGGATATGTAGGTAGCAGAGCAGGACCATGAGAGGAGCAGAACAGGAAGAAGGCAGAATTGAGACCTTTTGGCCCAAGTGAGGGGACATGGGGGCGTCATTTGAGCTCCCTGCTTCAGGTACCAAAATGCCATGGGCCGGCCCTGCCAGCAATAGCTTTGGACACCCACTTTGCATTGGTGCGAATGAGGACACACGGTACGAGGCAGAGGTAAATCAAGACCCCCCCAGCTGTGTCTAGACTGGCAAGTTTTTCTGCAAAATTATCTGCTTTTGCGGAAAAACTTGCCAGCTGTCTACACTGGTCGCTTGAATTTCCGCAAGAACACTGATGATCTCATGTAAGATTGTCAGTGTTCTTGCAGAAATACTGTGCTGCTCCCGTTCGGGCAAAAGCCCTCTTGCGCAAATCATTTGCACAAGAGCGCCAGTGTAGACAGCACAGTACTGTTTTGCGCACAAAAGCCCTGATGGCTAAAATGGCGATCGGGGCTTTTTTGCGCAAAATCGCGTCTAGATTGTCACAGACGCTTTTCTGCAAAAAGTGCTTTTGCGGAAAAGCGTCCATGCCAATCTAGACGCGCTTTTCCGAAAATGCTTTTAACGGAAAACTTTTCCATTAAAAGCATGTCTGGAAAATCATGCCAGTGTAGACGTAGCCCCCATGTTTCCGGAGTGCCTCTTTGCAGCGGAGGAAATGGACAGCCCTGAGCAACCTAGCAACCCAAAATCCCAAGGTGGCTGGGGTTGGGGTGATGAGTGGTCACAGCTAATAAATCTGTTGAAGCAAGAGGAAATTTGCCTTATTAGGTTCTGGACAAATCGATGCTTGCAGATTTTGCACCTAGAATCTCCTTCTTGTATTGTTCTTTTGCCATTTGTACAGGAAAGTGCAGCATGTTTACGCTCTCGGCCTCCCTCTGACAGGCTTCGTTCTCTCACGTGTAACATATTCTGAGAGGAAAAGAAACTGAGAATAAAAAACTCACGATAGTTTTAAAGACAACAAAGTCAATGTTTGTGCTGGGCAAATGGGAAATGAACTTGATTTTATGCTTCTGTGTGGGTCATGTGGTTGCAGGCTTTTGACTTCCAGCAATTTCTCTTGTTTTGAGCTTCCACATACCACTTGCAGAGTCTTCTTCCTCTGAGTTAGCTAATCTATGGTGGGTTTGCCTCTTCCTACCCCTGGGTCAGTAATACTATATCCGAGGGCATGTCTACACTACAAACTTATTCACTACAATTTACAACCCCCATAGTAATTATTGCAGTGGTTAATGTTCATGCTGTCCTCCTTCTGTGGGTGATACCTGTTCTCACCAGGAGCGCTTTCACCCACTTAAGGGAGTAGCAGGAAGATGGGATGTTGAGGCTAAGAGCCTGGCAGCTGGACCCTGGTGGGCTGTAGCTGGAGCTCCCCAGTCACCCCAGGGTGACAGCCTGAGCTGTAAGTGACTATCGTGTTGCATTCAGAGATGGAGAAACTGAGGCACTGGTAGGGGAAATGACTTTCCAGAGGTCACCCAGGAGGCTGGGGGCGGAGCTGAGAGCTGTTCCCAGGTTTCCTGACTCAATCCATTGACTTAATCTGTCTACTGCTTGGCACTAGGATTGCCACTGGGATTGAGTGAGCTACAGCTGTTTCATCTTAGCTGGGGCTGCAAGCGACATCATGCCCTTTAGGAAAGGTTCCCAGAGCGTAATTTTGCTGCATTCTGACTTCAGTTCCTAGGGTGGAATTGGGAGTGACACATCAGGCTGAGGAATCCAAATCTACGCCCGGACGAATGGGAGATGAACACCAATTCAGGATGAGGAAAGTGGCTTAAGTATTTTAACACTTTCCTGTACACAATGTTGTTTTTCTTTCTCCTGTTCCCCAGTGTCTCCCATTTACTGGCCCTATTGATGGCAGTCTTAGCAATGGAATGATGGTTATCATCAGTGGAACTGTTTCTCAGAACTGTGACAGGTATGTGCTGGTGAGGATACAGGTACTCCACTTTTGTGCCTAAAATCTACTGTTGAAAACAATGGAAAAGTTCCACACACTGGAACGTAACCAGAATTTGCAAGGTTAGCTCCAGTGATTCAGATGAATCGGTCTTTGCTAATGTTTCCCCACTTCCCACATTTATTGATTCAATTCTTACCTGTTGACAGAGTTGTTTTTGTTCAGATACAGATTTGAGAACAGATGTGAACTCAGAAATTATTTCTGGGGAAGATGGGGAACTGTGAACTGCTGACGGCTCAGAGATCCAAATGCAAAAGCCTTCTCAGTTTTTAGTTATTCCACTCCAGCTCATCTCATTTTTAACGGAAAACTTTTCCATTAAAAGCATGTCTGGAAAATCATGCCAGTGTAGACGTAGCCCCCATGTTTCCGGAGTGCCTCTTTGCAGCGGAGGAAATGGACAGCCCTGAGCAACCTAGCAACCCAAAATCCCAAGGTGGCTGGGGTTGGGGTGATGAGTGGTCACAGCTAATAAATCTGTTGAAGCAAGAGGAAATTTGCCTTATTAGGTTCTGGACAAATCGATGCTTGCAGATTTTGCACCTAGAATCTCCTTCTTGTATTGTTCTTTTGCCATTTGTACAGGAAAGTGCAGCATGTTTACGCTCTCGGCCTCCCTCTGACAGGCTTCGTTCTCTCACGTGTAACATATTCTGAGAGGAAAAGAAACTGAGAATAAAAAACTCACGATAGTTTTAAAGACAACAAAGTCAATGTTTGTGCTGGGCAAATGGGAAATGAACTTGATTTTATGCTTCTGTGTGGGTCATGTGGTTGCAGGCTTTTGACTTCCAGCAATTTCTCTTGTTTTGAGCTTCCACATACCACTTGCAGAGTCTTCTTCCTCTGAGTTAGCTAATCTATGGTGGGTTTGCCTCTTCCTACCCCTGGGTCAGTAATACTATATCCGAGGGCATGTCTACACTACAAACTTATTCACTACAATTTACAACCCCCATAGTAATTATTGCAGTGGTTAATGTTCATGCTGTCCTCCTTCTGTGGGTGATACCTGTTCTCACCAGGAGCGCTTTCACCCACTTAAGGGAGTAGCAGGAAGATGGGATGTTGAGGCTAAGAGCCTGGCAGCTGGACCCTGGTGGGCTGTAGCTGGAGCTCCCCAGTCACCCCAGGGTGACAGCCTGAGCTGTAAGTGACTATCGTGTTGCATTCAGAGATGGAGAAACTGAGGCACTGGTAGGGGAAATGACTTTCCAGAGGTCACCCAGGAGGCTGGGGGCGGAGCTGAGAGCTGTTCCCAGGTTTCCTGACTCAATCCATTGACTTAATCTGTCTACTGCTTGGCACTAGGATTGCCACTGGGATTGAGTGAGCTACAGCTGTTTCATCTTAGCTGGGGCTGCAAGCGACATCATGCCCTTTAGGAAAGGTTCCCAGAGCGTAATTTTGCTGCATTCTGACTTCAGTTCCTAGGGTGGAATTGGGAGTGACACATCAGGCTGAGGAATCCAAATCTACGCCCGGACGAATGGGAGATGAACACCAATTCAGGATGAGGAAAGTGGCTTAAGTATTTTAACACTTTCCTGTACACAATGTTGTTTTTCTTTCTCCTGTTCCCCAGTGTCTCCCATTTACTGGCCCTATTGATGGCAGTCTTAGCAATGGAATGATGGTTATCATCAGTGGAACTGTTTCTCAGAACTGTGACAGGTATGTGCTGGTGAGGATACAGGTACTCCACTTTTGTGCCTAAAATCTACTGTTGAAAACAATGGAAAAGTTCCACACACTGGAACGTAACCAGAATTTGCAAGGTTAGCTCCAGTGATTCAGATGAATCGGTCTTTGCTAATGTTTCCCCACTTCCCACATTTATTGATTCAATTCTTACCTGTTGACAGAGTTGTTTTTGTTCAGATACAGATTTGAGAACAGATGTGAACTCAGAAATTATTTCTGGGGAAGATGGGGAACTGTGAACTGCTGACGGCTCAGAGATCCAAATGCAAAAGCCTTCTCAGTTTTTAGTTATTCCACTCCAGCTCATCTCATGAAGCAGATTGTGCCCATGAAAGCTCATGATACTATAAATATGTTTTTTTTTAGTCCCTTAGGGTGTGTCTATACTGCACCGTTATTTCAGTATAACAATGTGAGCGCCTACACAGCCATTCCCTTATTTTGAAATAATGGACGGGTTATTCCAAAATCTGTAAACCTCATTCTATGAGGAATAACACCTAGCCTGAAATAGCTATTTTGAAATAAGGCCTGTGTAGATGCTCCACTGCTGCTATTTCAAAACAGCCCCTCACCAGGGCCATTCTAAGTTATTCCTCCCCAGTGCCTCCTGGGGCTCTAAATCGAGATGGCACATCTACATTAGGGAAGCCTGCCTGGGACTAATTTTGTGGTTTACCTGCAGTGTAGATGTGCTATTTTGAAATAAGCTATTTTGAACTAAGCAAGTCCAGAACAGTTAGTTCAAAATAAGCGTGCAGTGTAGACTTACCCTTAAGTGCCACAGGACTGTTTTTAAAGTTAGATACTAACATGGCTACCTCTCTGAGCCAAGTTACAGTGCTGGTAGTTTTCGTGTACAAAGGTAAAGCCAAGTTGGGGATCCTTTTTGGGTTGGGGGCTATTGGCCCATAGGAAAATCAGTCAGCTGCCGCACTTAAGTGAGAAGCAAATAAATAAATAAATAAATCCCAAAACAAACAAAGAAACCCAAAAAACTGCCAAAATCCCAAACCAAGTCAAAACAAACCCTCACTGCTATTGCCCCCGACTGAGGAGAAAGACACTTCCCATGTTCTCCTCACACACCAGAGCTTAGGGGAACCCAGGCTAGTAGATTTGGTGTGTTCCAGCCCCTTGGAGGGACAACGGGGGTTGGAGCACCAGCGCGAGCTCCCCAATGCTTGTGGGGAGCCTTGGGGCCTGAATCCAGGCCAGCGGGGGGCTACATCCAGGCCTGAGGTCCCTGATAAAGTTTTTA